CCCTGAAAATTGTCAGTACCATCAATCCAGGTTTCATTGTTTTATGGCCATAAATAAGGGGGCGTTTTTCTAATCAAAGCTCTTTGCACAATACCCAGGAAATATTATCACTCTTTTGAGTAATCGCTTGACCCACTGATAGTCTCTGTTCTTCAAAGTCGCATCTTGAAACCCGTTTTCGAGACGATTAACTTGTTCTCATTAGCATTTCCATTTGACTTGGGCATCAGAAACCAAGGAGAGCTGTCAGGGAGAAATGCTTTCCACTTGACTGCACTTTTCCAGTGCAATTTTCGCACTCAAGTGGAGAGTAATTTGCGGTCGTCTTTGGTAACAGAACCGGGGACTGAGGACTGGGGACTGGGGACCGGGGATTGCGGCTTTTGGCTTCACTTTTCGCAATTCGCATTTTGCTTTTGCTTTTGCTGGAGGGAGCCAATCGGATAGTTGAAACAAGTCCATTTCGTAGACCAAAAGAAGCTGAATGATTGTGGGCACTGAGTGATAGTTAATCGGGGGGCGGAGGGGCGGCAGGCATGTGATATAATGATCCCGCAGCATGGGACAGCCGTCGTCACTCTCGGTCTTTCAGCGCCGTAGACTTTGTAAAAACCTTTCATTAACAAGACCAAAATTATGAATGCCTCACGCTGCGACGACTCTGGCGACAACTGTCAAAACAGGCCTGGGGGACCGCCGATGATGGCCCCAACTGGGGGATTTGTGTGCCTTATATAACGCACTCACAGTGGGACAAATGATTTACACAAATTATTTTGCAATGTGCGTTGGCCAATGGCTGCTTTAAGCTGGCCAAAAAGCTGTCTCGGCCATCACCCATCCGTCTGCTCTTCCTTCTCCTCCTGCGCCTCCTCCTGCTGCTGCCTGTCGCCGTGAGCCGTAAGTCAAACAAATCAGTCGTGCCAGAAGATTAATGGCGGCATTATTGTGTCGCCTGCACAGTCATCCACATCCTCATCGTCATCGGCAGGGGCACCATCCTCATCATCATCATCAACATCAACGGAATGGGCCTTTGGTCTTCTCTGGGTCCTTCCAGCCATCATCATCATCATCGTTGGCAACTTCATCATGCGGCTGGTCATCGTGCTGGCCCTGAGGACCTGCCGCTCTGTCCGTGTGGTGGGTGGTGGCCGCGTGACACGATCAGCAGCTGTTGCTTGGTGGATTGGCACTCACGCGAGCAGCACTGGGTGGAAAGCCCCACTGCTGTCATCTCGTCTGCATGTTGCATGCGATTTTTCTTGCAGTAAATAATTTTTCATGCCATCTGTCCTCCGTGTGTGTGGGGGCATGGGTGTCTCCCCCCCCCTCCCCCCCACCAGTCGTGGGCATGTCCTCTCCGTCCGTCGTATTATAGCCCATTGATCAGTTTGTTTTACTAGCTCCTGGTCGGCTCTCCCAGCTCTCGTTCGTCGTCTCGGCTTGTGTACATTTCGGATTATGAACTCTTTAAAACCTTCCACTCTGCCTGGATGTGGATGGAACAATCGATGCGGCAGTGATGGAAAGAGTTTCGGGGACTTGGTTGCCATTCCATTCCATTCCATTCGATTCGATTATGATGGATGCTCTGCGAGGGCAAAGCGTTTGGGGCTGCTCCACTGTTAAGGGGATAATCGGCAGCATACCCTTCAGGTCGTGGATTTTCTTGAGAAGTGTATTATTATGTTCTCAATGTAATATGCAATAAAGGCAGGGCCCTGCTTTTCAAGGACCTTTTCATGCCTTGTTAGTGGCCCGGAACTATGCAAATTTGTTTAGTTTATTGAGCTGCACTCGTGGGGGCAGCCCAGGCCGTCGAAATGCCTGCCTGACAAACAGTCGGCATTGTCCTCCGCCAGGACCGGAGCCGGGCCTCCGAGCCGGAGCCGGAGCCGGAGCTGCAATGCTGTAAAACTTTCGCAATGCCAGAACGGAGGAGAGCATTTAATTAAATTCCTTTGCACCTTTAGTGCTGCGCTAAAAATTCCACAGCCGACACAGGACTCGGCAGGATATCCTCGGCAGGAGCCCTGGCCAGGGGCGGTGGGGGGCCCACAGCCATAACAAATTAATCTTTGCGGCCTGCCTCCGGCTCCGGCTCCCTCCCGGCAGCCCCACAAATGAGGCATTTGATTTTAAAACTAGCAAAAGTTTCCGAGACAAAAAGAGGAGCCCCGGATTAGTAGGGGGCGGGGACGGGGACGGGGGGCGTTCTATGTTCAATCAGCCGCTGAATTATGTTGACAGGGCACGCACATTTGGCAGGCACTGTAGGACCGTTTTTGGGGCCATCAAGTTTGCAGTTCTCCTACTTTTTTTGAGGGGGCAATACCCCCCCCCCCCCCCACCCTGTTTAATCGATAACCTTCAGGACATGCAACACGATTTGACAGCCTGCTGAGAGGCGCCCCCAGAACTGACCGATTCCCGATCTATTCTTGGGTTCTTGCCGCTCTGCATCGATTACGCGGATTAATCTTTATTGACTGCCGCGCTGGCAAGGAGAAATCAAACTCGAATCAATCGCCAAAAGCCATGGGGCAAGAGGCAGGCGGCAGGCGGCAAGTGCGTGAGAGAGACGTAGACAAGCAGCAACTTTTCAATTTCTTTGCACGCACACCATCCATCTCGCCACCCAGTTCGTGCCACATCCGCTTTGTTGGCGGTGTCCTTGCCCCGGAGCAACGCTTTGTCGCTTCTCCTTTAAGCCACTTGCCATCTTTTGTCCTTTGGGGCAATCAATCCGTGTTAATGGCTCTGCAGCTAAATCAAAAAAACAAAAAAAATGAATGCCACGCCATGAAAGAAGGCAAGGGGGAAAGCCAGCCAAAAAGAAAGCTCAAACTTTGGGCAAATATTTTGGCACTCAAGCTGGCCCCCCATTTTGTGCCTTAAACTGTGCTGTAATCTGGCTCTGTGTGTTCGGGCCACATGCTCTGGCTATTTAATTATGTAGCAGTATCCCTCAAGTTTGCCGAACTTGTGCCTGCATCCTGCATCCTGCGGCCTGCAGGCGGCTCGAACGGAAACAACTTGTGTGCCGCAGTCAGCCCTACGCCCTGCCCCTACCAGCCTGGGCAAATGCAATTTGTATGGCCTTCAAGTGCGGCTCGTTATTGCCAAATTTAGAACTGCTCGAAATAATTCCAACAAATTTTCGTGCAAACGAGGCGGCAGCCATCTAAGAACTGTGCACCCGGCAAAAGTTTGTGGCAGCACAAGAATCCATTATGAGTATGTGTGGCAAGTTTCCCTACGATCCTAACTCAGGGCGGTGTAACTCTCCATAGATCCCACCGACACTTTTGTCGCCTGGCCGCCTATCTGCCACCCCCCCCTGCCTGCACGTGGACTACAAACTTTGGCGGCAAAGTTGTCCAGCAGCAGGGGCCGTGTCCAAAGCTGCGCTTGAACCGGTGCACACCGGAAGTGGTGTTGGTGGTCCTGCACCTGCCCCAGCCCCAGCCCCTGCCCCACCGTTGTGTGGCAAGTGCTGGCGAAGTTTAATTATGTAGAAATCGAGACACGCACTTTTGCAGCCAAAGCCATTAAACGATGCCCGGGCCAAGCGCCACGACACGCCCACTTAGCGACACCCCTACAACCGCCTACAACTGGGGCACGCAAAATTTCAGCGCGAAGGCGGATGGTTTGAACATTTCGCACTACATATAGTCGAAATCGGAGATTTATCAGCTAAATCTGTGCTCCAGGGTATGGAGGCCTTCGATACAGCCTTTCGTGCCACCGACAGACTGGCATCAGCTGTGTGGAGTCGCAGTCCTATGCGATTATAAATTCTGTTGCATGTCAGGGGTTTTCATAGTTGCTACGTTGCACGGCTAGGTGGGGGGGGGGGGGGGTCTGTTTCCCTGCAACGAGGTGCGAATAAATGTGCGGAATTGCATTAGGCTTCTAGAAGCTGCTCCCTGTATTCCTTTTGCCAAACACTTACTGGAGGAAGGACTTAACTCTTAAAAAAAAACGTGCAACTTTCATCCAAGCGCCACCGGGCATAAATTTTAATATAAAGAACAGCAGCAAAGTCAGTGAAAGCTGTGCGAGTCCTTCGTTCTTCCTTGGTGTGTGTGTTTTATTTGATTTTTCTCTCTCCGTCCGGCATTGTTGTGTTTCTGTTTCTGTTTATTTTACATTACGGACCGTAGGAGACAGTCGTTTATATCAATTAGCCAAAGGATCGGGGTCGGGGTCTGGGTTACAGCTTTTAAATGAGTGCCAGCCAGGTTAATTGATTTATTTGCAAAAGGTGGCAATCATTCGACGAAAACATGGATGCCTACTGCTTTGAGAACCTGTAAACGGGTTTGAAAGGGAAAAACAATTCGCGTTGCCAACGCAATTTCACACTTTGCCAGCTACAAATTGCAGCATCATAGTAGTCCCGGATAACTCTGCCACTGCCCCTGCCAAGAGCCAAGAGCCAAGAGCCGCCTTGGCCAAGATTATAGAGATGACGACGGGCAAGGAATTTTTATGATTTATGGGCGCCTGGCCCTGCGCCTGCGGAACTTTCCTTCATCCTTCCTGCCTTCCTTTTTTTCTGCCTTGGATACTCACCAAAAATTTGTTGCATTTTTTGTGGCTACCCGGCTAGCCTCTTGTTGCAATTCCAAGACCCCCCCCCCCCCACCGGGGGGCCGTTTTGATAAATGAGTTTCCCGCTTTTCTACGAGACGAGTGGGATCCTAATGGGGCACTCCATCCCACCATCAGTCATATCGAAGGCTAATTAATCCGACATCGGTCTCATAATCATAATCGATATTGATTGTGTCTCAGGACCTTGGAGATTCCCATCAAATGATATCGGAGAAATGTGTTGCCCCCGAATGATAGCCTGCATTCTGTACTTGTCGGCGGCTTTCAACATGCTGACGGCATTCGTCCTGCTGGTGCTGTGTGTCCTGGCAGGTGTCATCTACAAAATACCGCAAAGAGCCCAACCAGATCTTAGCAATGTGTCCATTTCACAGGTAGATCTAGGCCGGGAGGCAAGCTGAATGCCATTCTCTTCGTCATTTGGATGCTCATCCATATTCCCCTCATTTTGGGCGTCCTCCAGGTTAGTCCTCGATCCGAGCCGTTTCCCCGAGTCCCATGTGTGTCTCTTGCAGCGCAAAAGGTCTCTGATGTGGGCCTACATAATCGCCTGGCCGCTGTTCTTCTCGTGTGTGACCATCCTGCTGCTGCTGATCCACTGCTCGGTGATCGTTTGGTACGATTTCCTGCGCTTTTGTTGGCCCCTCTGGTTCTTTGTCGTGTGGTTCGGTGAGTTTTTCCCACCTCCTTGGGGGTTCTGCCCACCTTTTGGTAAGAGACATGTCCTTGCAGTGACTGCCATCCCCTCCTGGATCTTGGCCATTTCCTACCTGAGCACTGGCCATGATATTTCAACCGAGGTATCATCCACAAACTCGGCGCAATCGTAGAAATAAAGCATACAAGAAATGTATTTTTTTAGGATTTATGTCTGGGCAGGATGGGCAGGACGAGGCCAGACCACTTTCAACTGTTGCACGAGGCGCGGGCAAGGGGAAAAGGCATAAATTTCATGCCTCAATGAGTCTGTGGGGCGCAACAAAAAAAAAGTACACTGAAATTTTCAACTAAATTATTCATTGGGCGCGCAATCGAGCTGGAAAAGTGCAGTTCTCTCCTCCACCACATCAGCGAGTGTGAATATGAATGTGAGTGCCCCACCGCACGAGTGAATAGGGCTGGGCGGTGTGAGTGTCTTCTGTGAGGCTATCCAAAGGACTAAGGGTATTCCAGGGCCTTCCCCTAGAGCCTAGATGCAAAGGAGCCCCAGAGAGTGAGACCAAGACAGAGAAAAGGCCAAGGGAAACTGGGAATTGACGAGCAACGCGGCTGTTTATAGTTTTTTAATAGCCGCCCCAAAAGAAAGTGAGATTCAAGACCCTTAAATGGAATTAAGCTGCCATCTAAGTTGCTCTCCAAAAAAGCAGGCGAATCTAATCCATCAGGTAATTGAAGATTAAATTATTAAATGCTCCATTAGGATGGCTGCCTGGCTGCCTGCTCTTGAGCAAATAGTTCACTTGTAAAATGCACACAGAGCCCGGCCGGAGTTTGTCTTCTTAATTAGTGGACAAGTTTGAAGTCGAGTGCTTTTGCTCCTTGAGTCCTGGCTCTGGCTCTGTGTGTGTCCTTCGGTGGGTCTTCTGTTTGCTTTGTGCGGATTATCATTATTATATGGCAATTATGCGTCTCTCAGTCTTTTGTCAAATTTGAGTACAATCTTTACTCGGAATGCAAGCCCCCCTCCACCGCCCGTTACGTGGTGGGGTGGTGGGGTGGCTGCATTGAATCTGAATCGATAATTGTCCAAGTGGCAGTCAAGTACAGGCATGTCCCGTCCTTCGGCCACTAACAATATGCCGCAATTTAGAGGCAGCTGGCTTGATAAACGTCCTGCTGTCTGGTGGCTGCTGGTAGCCGCTGAGGCAGGACTCCAGCCGTCCATCCAGGCGGGCAGGACTCACCTTCAATGGACAAATTAACATTTCGACAAAGGCAACCTAATCAAATGTCACAATCACGCATGGGGCTGTCCCTGGCAGGAGACCAGGCCGAAGGGCCAGACCGAACCCTATCCCGGAGTGCCTGTATGTCCTGCCCCAGCCCCTGCCCCTGCTCTTGCCCCCGGGTGGCTCTGACACTTTTTGTGCTGCCCTTCGCATAACTTTCACTCTTGTCAGTTGCAAATTACACTGCACGTCTGCAGTGGCGGCAGTCGTGGGGGTGTCGTAATTTAAAGCTTATTTTGACACTCCACACCGCCGCCCCGCCTCCCCCCGCCCTGGGAGCAACACACCGGGCAACACAAACTCTGGCAACACCCAATTTGCATCTTTCAAAATCGTGTTTTGTTACATTTTGTGCATGCGCAAAAATTTGCATACGACAATTAACACTCCAAAGGCAGAGCCGGGTTGCCGGGTTGCCGGGAGACAGGACCTGCCTCACATGTGTCCTCGGCAGCAGTTCACGAAATGCAACAGACGCCGTCACCCCTCGGCACAACGTGGCGTATGCGTAATGCCAGCTTCTGTTCAAGACTGAAATGTGAGAGGCCAGAGCCGGTAGAGGCAGGGGGAGGGGCAGGGGGAAGGGGCAGGGGGAGATATGTTAATGGAGTTGCTGTTTGAGCAGCAATCCAACCTAATGAGAATCTGTAAATATTTGTGCATCGCATTCAAGGAGGCGGAGGAGGCTAAAGACTTGATCGCAGGAGTGGAAGGATCTTTGTTGGTGAGTCCTCTTGGCGGTTATCCCAACAACAGATCTCATAACCCCCCACCCGCCTGGGATTATCTTTAAGCAAATTAAGAACCGCAATCAGCCGCAAACAATTCACACAGAAACCGAAATCGAAGCGACGGGAATCAGGGCGGAGAGTCCTGTCACAAAAGGGTTGCAAGTGGATCTGAAGTAAGGGGATGGTGCAGGCGAGATAAGGGATATTGGGGGAGTCGAGGGGGGGTGGGGGGTGGTGGAGGGGCAACGTTGGCTGTTTGATGGCGATGCCAAGAAATGTCACGATAAGCGCCGATACAACGTGGCACCAGGAACAAGGAGCCGAAGGGGCACACACACACACACACACACACACACACATACACACACATACACACTTAATACGCTTAATTGACTTTCATGCATGCACGACTGAATGCAGCTACATGACAGCAAAAGGAGCATCATGCTCGCCGGTCGAGAGGGCCGAGAGGGGGGCTGCAGGGGGCTGCAGAGGGCTGCGGATAGCGGTCTGGCATGTTGGCCAAGCTGCTGCTGCTGCCGTTGCTGTTGCCAACTGACGCGAACTGATGTGACTGGTGGCAGGAGCATTACCGATGCGCAATCCTTTCCAAAATTAGGCACAGGCGAGACCCCAAAAAAGAGAGTAATCCCAAATGCCGAAACACGCAAAAACACCAGACAAAAGAGTCGAATGATCGACTGGCGGATACCCAAAAGGGCCTTCAAGTCTGTTACAAACAGTTCTTCAAATGTTGCCCCATCTTGGGGTAACTATATGCCCCCCGAGGAGTCAGGTGCTCACACGCCCAGTGCATCCCCTGGGGCAACGCCAAACAAAGGGAATACATCGAAGAGCGCTAAGCAGTGATGCCATAGAGGGGCTCAACACACCCATAATCGCACTCAAATCGCCTGCCCCTCCTGTGCCACACGTTCGCATTCAATCATCGATTCACTTCATTGAATCACTTATTCAGTGTTTTGCCGTTGCTGAAAATGCCGATGTTTCATGATTGCAACCCCTCCTCCAGCCCCCCGCCGCATGGTGTTTGGTATTGTGTGGATTTTGTGGCACTTCTCCGGGCCCGGCATGTGTCTGTGTTTGTCTGTGTGTGTGGGCAAAACTTGACAATTATGCAAGAATTTCCCTTCATGGTTTTAATCCAGTCACATTTGAGGCAAATACGGAATATGAGTGTACAGATTCATGTCAAATCCCCGCCAAAGAGTGGCCTGAACCCGTTTCGATACTGCCTCAGCTTTAAGCAGCAGACCTTTGCCTTTGCCCTTTCTCTGTCATGCCTGAAATCATTCTTGAGTGCATTAAGGAACCCCCTCCTTGCACTTCCTTGTTTTCTCAATGTCAGACGAGCAGAGACAGCCAGAGAGGGCCCTGAATCACTCTTATTTATTCACAAACAAAACATAAAGTATACATTTCTGGCCTTTGCAAGGTGGCAAAGGGTATACCCTTATTGGGGGTGGCCACAGCCACTGCTAAGGGCCTGCCAGGTCCTGTCGGTGAGGGTATTCGAGGCTCAGTCGCTGGTGCTTTCAACAAAGGACTGCACACATGTACAGGGTCCTGCAGCTGGCGCATAATGAGCGCGAAAACATCCTGTCCTCCGCCACGGAGCCAAAAGATTTGTGCGCTTTTAGCGATGGAGTATTCTTGGGAAATTCTTCTGCTAGCTGACTTTTCAACAGGGCCAGGACATGAATGCAACTGCGACTGTGTCCTCCTCTGCGTTTTGGCGACATGTGTCGCATTCTTTGCTTCCTGCCAAAGTTAAATGGATCTCGTAATTGTTGTCCTGGCCTCAGAGACGCTGTCAGTGCTCCTGTCTGGTGCCACCCGCCTCCCTCTCCTCCTCAAGTGCTTTCTCTTTGGTACTGCCAGGCGTATTTTATAGAAATTGCGGTTTAATTGCTGCATTTTAAAGCAATTGAAAGGACACTGGGGCGCCCCGCCGTGCAGACATGTCCTTTCAAAAGGGGATAACATGATGCTTGCTGTGACATCTTTGTCACGCGGATGGTGCGACCTTTTGAACCCTTTGTATGCGTTTTGTGCCCAACAAGAAATAAGTGAAAAAGTCCTTTGAGTACTTATAGCTCGTTGTGGCACGTTGTCGGGGGGGGGGGGGGGGGGGGCCTTCGATCACCCCCACCAGGCTCTCTCTCTGCCAGAGTCCAAGAAAAACTTTACAAAGTTTATCTTTTCTTAGTTTTATTTCTAGTTTTACTTACTTTTATTTTGAATTGGAATTTTAAGGTCCATTTGTGGGGGATTTTGTGCTTCATTGATTCATTGATTGATTGTTTTATTGATGATGATTGATTTGATTGGGCTTAAAAACACTACAAAATGGCTGAGGAAATTAATGTAAAAGGTTTCGTTTGCAGTTCCGTGCTGCAAAGTTGCACGATTTTACGCTTGCAACATTGCAGCCGAATAGTTCTTTGGCGGGGGCATTAAAAGCAAAATCGTTCGATGCAAATGCCAGCCATGGCGCCCCCTTTGCTGCCCCCTTTGCTGCCCCCATTGAATGGCAATTTTCCGTGCAGTTTCATTTGATTCTGCAACTGCCTCTCGAACTGTTTTTACGATGGGGCAGAAGGGGAGCTGAAACGTCCATAAAACTCAAACGAATGCACACAAATCGCAAATCATTTATCATAAAAGCGCATCATCGTTGCCATTTGCTCCATTTTGATCCGCACTCTTCGTGGCAGCCATAAAGGGAGCCCCCCTCCCCCCCCCCCATGCTGCAACTTACCTGCTAGATTGAAGGAGCGACGAGGCAAGGCCAGGCTGCAAGCTGCAAGAAAGAAGGAACAACACGGCAATGAGACACAAATTAAAAACGAGACACATTCGCTCTGATTATGGACAGACACAAGATTGCGGCAGGAGGAGAAAGCCGTCAGGCGACTGCCGAATTAATTACCAACTCAAAATGCCTGACACAAACCGAAAGTGGAAATTAATTATTTCCCTATTAGTTGAAGCATCGATTTTGCGGTTGCCACTGCCACTGCCGCCACCGTTGCATGCTGCCGGTCTCCACTCGATGACAGATTGGCAGTTATACATTCAGCCTAAATGCTGTATTGGTTAACGCCCGTTGAGAGCCTTGTCGGTTATGA